GTTACCGCGTAGTTCAGTCAGACAACACGCTAGTGGTCCGAAGCGTGCGACTGGAACACGAGACTCATGCGAAGTATGAAACGTGTCAATGTTTGAATACTGAGGCATATGTGAGGTTTTAAGGTATTCTAAACGACACACTTCAAGTGTTCTGTGGTGTTCGACTGGGACACAAGACTCATGCGAAGTATGAAACGTGTTCATGTTTGAATACTGAGGCATGAGATTAAAATTCCCTCGCGGATCTCACTTTAACTGAATATATTCACCGTCTATTTGTTACTGCCAAGACAGTTTCTGTTATTGTTCCTTTTTTAATAAATAGCGGTCGTACTAAAGTTTTGTTTTGAACATTCGATTGTTTCCCCCCCAAAAAAACTAAGCGCACTGTCTCGAATAAGCGCCCTCCCTTGAGGTATCAAGAGCAAATAAGCGCTCCTAGCCGGCAATTATTTCCCTCAACGCCGAAAGCTCAGGAGACTACAGACGACCCCCTGGAATAAAGACGTATACGATTATATGCTAATCTTCGTATTGCACATATTATTTTATTTCAGTGCGAAAACTTTTCGGGACCTTCGAGAAACAGGCCCCGGGGCCGGATTGTTCGAACTATCCTAGGATCAAAAGTTAACCGAAGTATCAATTTTTCATGCATAAAAATGTTTTTCACTTCTTACGTTTTGTGTAGTCTGAGATTACCCAATCTCAAAAAGCACAAATGCTGGATTACCTTAATCGGGCTTTTACTGAACAACCCGGCCCAGATGAGCTACACAATCACAGTCGAGTAAAATTACAATGAAACTTACCTTTTGTATCAGACTTTCAGGGTTTGCGGGGAACAGATTGTTTGAGCGCTAATGTTTTGCATATCCACAGCATTATGTCAATAAAATTGATCGTTATTATCCAACTGCAGCGAATACCGAGTAACAGTACAAATATACTGACAGCGATATCGTACAGCTATATTTGCGGCGCGCGCACGCAAAACAGTCGCACTCTCCCTCTTTCACTGATAAATTTATTGACTACAGCAGTTGTTGTTGTATTTTGACTTGTGCCGTATTTTGTGCCAGCGATACTACACACCAAACCATCTAATAAGATATGTATATTGGCTCTGTCAATTCCAAACCCCTTCGTCCACGGCGGACACATTTTCGGTTCTATTATGGTCTATTTTGTGGCAAAAACCAGCAACAAACAGAAACATCCAAATGTGAGATTTGTTCTCGGAGCTTTTCGTAAACTTCCGATCCATACAAACAATCAAATCGATCTAACCTGGAAACAAGAACAGGAAAAGGTACTGAATAGTTCTTTGGAAGGAAGGGCTAGGGATGTTTTCACGGGTTACACCAATTGTATACGGTAAACGTTTTTTTATTATTATTATATAGACGAGAGTGTTTTAGTGGAAAATGCACTACTCGTGTGATTTATTCGAATTTACATCCGGGACCGTAGTGGCGTATCGGTATATCCTCACCGGGTGAGGGTATCGATGACGTCATTTCGTGGCATTGTATTGAAAGGCACGCAAGAAAATGCCAAAAACGCCAAAGTGAGGAAAGAAACTTTCTGTGGCGTTAAACTGTTCAAGGAGTTTCTTCACAGTAAACTAATGAAGAGATATTCAAGATATTCCAGCCGCCGAGCTGCAGTTCACATACGGTTTGTGCTTTCGATTTGCTTCTGTAGTTTTTGTCCATATAATAAAATTAAAAAAAACATTACACGTTGGCTCAAAGGAATCCTTGTTTCGTTGGCATTTTCTTTGTTTCGTTGTTTATTGAACTCTCTGTTCTTACTAGTAAAAACTACGCAACGTAATGTTTGTGTATTTGACGAACTTGTTTTCTTTGATTTCTGGATTGCGGTTTCCAGATTTCGGCTTCCGGATTGGCTAGATGGAAAACGCGGGGCTGGGAACTCGGGTCCCGGTGTACGGGTTCCGGGCTCAGTAGAAGACATGGGGTCTCAGTGGAAAACACCGGGTCTGCATAGAAAACACAGGATCCCGCTTTTTTCGCCAAAATATGAAGTTTCCTCACTAAAATGTTAAGTCCAAATTTTGTTAGTTTAAATCGCAATGAAAATGCAATGCTACGTGACCTTTTAACGCAAACCCCCTCCAATTAAAATACTCGCCACTGCTTGCAGAGGTAAGGAATAAAAGATGTCGCTTAATTTGAAGTGTAATTAAATGTAACGGAAAACGAAAAAAATCTTGGCTGGTTTGTTTTCTCATTCAAGACCACATGATATTCTTTAGAGAATTGTTCTTTTCTCCATCTAAAAAAAACTGTTCATTCGTATACACGCCACTGAAAATTCGAAAGCAAGAATTCTCAACAGTATCATCACATGGTCTGTAATGGAGCAAAAAGAAAAGGCGAAAGCTATGAAAGCAACGAAGGTCTATTACAACGCAACATCTGGTAACCCCCAGGTTAGGAAAACTCTTCCCGACAAACATTCAAGGTTAGAATTGCTAATCAATTTAATTTTACCTACTTCCTGAAAATCGTTAATCTATTAGAAGTTTCAAGTGGAACGTTCGACATTGGATTGTCTAAACTGAAAAACCAAAATCTCTGGTGTTTAATTTATTACTTATTTTATTATATGACTGAGAAAATTACTTCATTGTGATTGGCTGAGAGCAGGCCAATTTATCATAAACTGTCTTATTTTGCACTGCAGTGCAAATTAACGCGAGCGCGTTCGCAATTTTCTCAGTCATAAAATAAATTAGTAATCGTATGAAAACTCGAGCAATTAAGCCCTGATCAAACGGCGCATGGTAGCTGATGATAGCTGTAGCACGCTCTTTTGTTTGACCACCAACTATCATGCACTACCAATTAAAAATTAAAAATTTCTAAATTGTACTTAACTTTTTAGATCTTATAGATTGTACATATCTTTATTCCCCAGGGCCCCTATGGATACCAGCCTCGTTGCTGAATGGGCTACCCTGGTTAAATAAAGTTACTTACTTACTTGCTTACTTACTTACTTACCATCGACTATTATCCACTATCATTCACTTTGAGCTTGTTCAAATTCTCCCTGGTATTCTATGATAGTTTTTACCCGTTAAAACACGCGTATGATAGTTGCTCCGGCAATTTTGAGAGAATTTTCAAGTATCACTCGTGGCGTAAATCTTTAATTGCACTCCCATTTACATGATAACCTATGCATATAAACACAGCACTTCTTTACTATTCTGTTTCAAATGAAAAACATTCTAACTGAACATAACTTGATTCAGAACCTTCGCTTTAAAATGAAATTTAAAAAAAAAGCACAAAGCAACATGGCTAACATTTGTCCGGTATTCTGCAAAAAAATTTTTTATAATATGTACAGTGTAAATCAACGGGCCCCAATAAAAGACGGGTGGGGCTTGTCTAAACTGTAGAAATAAAATAAGCCCTTGCCAGCCGGGTCAAATTTGAAATAAACGCCAGGGGGATTCTGGTGTTCTTTCAAATAAAACAGAAGCCGGCGCAGTATAGTTGGTCCCCTTAATTTTAGCAAAAATAATCTCCACTCTTACTTATGTCTACGGATTTCTTGTTTGGTGTCTTCATACAGGTTGAAAAAAACATTGGTGCTCGCCGAGTGAAGTCAAAATGTTTTACCCTTCAAACCATCTACCGCTTAGCACCTTATACCGCTCTCGTTTCATAGCTGATCGGACTCCAGGTTTATCAGTGCTTTTCATCATATGATCCGTAGTCCAGCACACTGTTTCCTTAGAAAACCATAAGAAAAAAGGTCCCGTTTGAGAGCCGTGCGCATCAAATTGTTTGGGCCGGAAAATGCATTCGGCCCTAGTACTAGTACTACTATCAATGCCAGTTAAAATAAAGAGCAGAAAAAAATTAGTTTCTGCAATTGTCAAAAAACAAAAAAATGAGAAATGAACATTCTGACTGCGAATTTTACTATTCTGCTGAACTGCCCGATGCACAACTACTTCAGGTGCCAACCTACTGCGAAAGCACAAATGTATGTAGAGGAAAACTGGTCAAATGATAAAATGCTTATTGACTGAGTGAGGTCGGGCCGGACCATTTGGTTCTGGGTCCTGACCTCGAGCCAAAAATTTTCCTTTCTGGCCCTCCACTCAGTCAATAAGTACATTATAGTCTTCTTTCTGTAACTCTTGTATACTAGCCGTCCGTTGAAAGGCTGGGGAATCCAAGGGTTCACATCCAGTACATCTTTGTTTGATTGCTCAAAGGAAGGTTTTTTCTAACCAATGGAGGTTCATTCATCATTCATGATTTCTTTTCCAGAAGTAAAATATACACGCAAGTTACTGCGAACGATAAAATAGACTCCTCAACCAAAACCAAAATGTATATCCACCCAGATCACGCGTTTTCCACGCAGATCCCGTGTTTTCCACCCATACCTCGTGTTTTCCACAGAGGCCCGGGACCCCGTATCCCGGGACTCCGGTGTCGCGTATTCCATCGACCCTTCCGGATTCCAGATGTCAGCTTTCGGACCCGGATTCTGATTTTGAATTAGTCAAGATTTTTGTTTCGGGATTCTGTGCTATAGGGTTGCCCTTATATAAATTATCAGCGTCACTGTATCGACATGTATCAAGAATAAGCTTACTTGAGCTAAGTTGAACTTTTCCTATAATTATTTCCAGTGAATACTGGATGATAATACTGGGGACGCTGCGTGTTGCCTATACAGAGCAAATCCAACAACGTTTGCCTCCCTACGAGTTGCTCTGGCATAGGCAGCTGAAGGGAGACGACAGAGAACACAGGCCCGGGAAACGCGCAGAAGGACGAGTCTTTGAACGAAACATTTCATAACAAAAAGTGTTTACTACAGAATACAGGTTTTTTTTTTTCATGCAAATCAAACTAATCTTCGTGTGAAAGGTTTTGCACGAAGACTCGTTTTGAAACAGAGGCACAAGGTAACTCGGAAATGGCCTATTTCCGGCCCTAGTCTCCACACGAAGACAAGGAACTAAAGAGTTTAATGAAGTCAAAAAGTTGAAACCTAACAAGACGAATTTCATTGACAGAAACCTAAATGTAATGATGTAGTTTTGCCAAAAATTACTATATGTGTACCAGAGCTATAAAAGGGCAATATAAATATCATGGGTCAAATTCACTTACACAGCACCCACAAGGTTGTGTCAGAACTTTGCAACTTTTGTCGACGGCTATCAAAATAATCGCAAAAATCCAATCACAGTTTGTTCTCGCTTCGGCTTCGTGTACGAGCGAAGGTCCTGGGTTCTACGTCATGGAGCGAGGAAGCAGTGGTTCAGTGCGCGTGACCGAGTGACATGGCGCAGAAGAATTTCCGCCTATTACCCCCCACCTCCCCCCCTCCAACCGGGGGATCATGGATACAAGTCAAAGTCAAGTACGAGCGAAGGTAGTCAGTCATAATTCACTACCGTTTTGATAAAAAATGCAGTAACATTAGGTTATCATGTCCCTTTAACGGTGTTCCACTGTACATGAATACTATACAGAACCAAACAAGTATATTTACGGTTGTATAATAATTTATTATCATTACGTTTTTCCCTCACCACGTAAAAGTAATTTTGAATTGTTAGACTCGATTGCCAGCCGTTGTTCACGAAAGTAGCCCGCACTTCTTCCCCCGGAACTCTTTTCGGTGAGGAATGTAGAAATCGAACCTAGTGAAACTTTGCATAATTATGCATTTTGCAGTTGAACATGCAAGACGCTCACTACATCAGGCTCTCTAAGAATAAGGACCAGTGGTAATTGCTCAGCATTTTCAAGGCTCGGTTCAGCCTCTTTCCAGCTGTTCGGACAGTTCTAGAATATTCTGACATTGCTGGATTCATTTCACGCGATACGAAACGGACAGGGGAGAAGAAAGTTACAGGACTTGTGCCACAACCAACATTGCTTGTACAAGATAAAACATGTAAAACAGTCGCCAAAATGATAAATGCAATTTGACACAAATAAAAGGAGACATTTCCCTACAGAGCTCAAATAATCCCACTTGAAAATATCACAGGATAAAAAGATATTTTACATTGGTATGCAAAGTACAACGAGTAAGAATAAGCCATGCTGGATAATGAAGATTGTACAAAAAAAAAAACAACTCACAGGCGAGTGATTTTAATACAAGTTCTTTGACTGTTGTTCTAAAATATTTTAAAATTAAGTGGCTTATTTAACAAATAGACTTATGCCACTTAAAATTATTTCTATGCGTGCCACCTTACATGTAAAAAATAATATATAGAGGATATTGCATGGTGACACGAAGATATGGGTTTTATTTTGAATGGTAAAAAATGCCACTACCGAACAGCTGCATGGGGTCATAATTTAAGAAAATTTAGTTGGTAGTAAGAGCCATCATGGAGAAGCAGCCATTAATTACCGGTACTGGCATATATTATGGGAGTTTTAAAAATAACGACAGCATAATAATCATGATTGACAGTTATTTCACTGCTAGCTTTTACTGCTAACAGGTATTTCTTCATGTTCTTCTTTGCTTCTATAAAAGAGCAGTGGAAACATACCAATGAAACATCCTACAACAATTCCCAAAGCTCTTCCCTACAAGATACAAGAGCACACAAAAAATCACCTTTAATGCCTGCAAAATTGTCCCATTCTCTTCCCCAGCAACAAAGAAGCATGAATGACAATGACAATTATGATCTAGAAAGTAGACACTAGCGGAGTAATTAGATGACCGCTAACTAGAGAAGGAGAAGGAGGAGGAGGAGGATATAGAAAGCAGACACTAGTGGAGTAATAAGATGGCTGCTTACTAGAGCTTTCCAAGATAACCATAAACACTGGGAATGTAAAAACCACTGTTGTTCTGTAAAAAGATTTTGTAAGTTTTGTTTCATTGCCTTATGCCATGTCAGGATAATGGCGCTATATACTGTGTTACATTTTCAAACAGAGTTTTAAGAAGGCGTTAGTAAGTAGCGCTGTCCTCTTACAGGATTGTCTTGTAAGAGAGCTTCCACAATGGTTTCTTGTAGCTGATCATCTTGGTAGAGGCAACCATTAGCTGGTGGACAACTTGGAGAATGCCTCTCTTAATCTCCTTGTCAATTTTTCCTTCACAGCACTCCTCAGCTATAATTCAATTACCTGGAAGAGGGTTAAAGTGAGTTAAATAATTACTGGTATCACGTATTTGACTTACCATGTTTGTTACAAATCTCGTCCGTGGCATTTCTGTTTGTTTTGAACTGAGGTTAGGGCTTTCGTATCCCAGTCTATTTGTTGCTGCTTCAACATAATGAGCGAGGCTGCATTAAAATAAAACACTGTTATCATAAATCTCTCCTAAACCCTTGCTAAAATAACCTTACGAAACCACATTTAAAAATATGACACATTTGGTTTCTTGCTGCTGTTTTAGTTTGTAGTTGTATTTCATTTTGTTACAACCTTTGTTAGGGTAAAGTCTCTTAAGCAATAGTGATCCTGACCAAAGACTGAACCCTAACTCATCAACCTGATCTAAGCATGACTATTCCACTTTGCCCCCTTCTTCCCACCATATGAAAAGTATAATGCTCAAAAATAACATACATGTATGATTACAAATAATTTTTACCCTATTCCAGAGACATCAGACACAATGTTACCAAGAGCAGCAGCTGAAACCAAAATTGGAAATCAGATTCATTTACGCGTACTCTAGAAATAACTCAAGGTTTGTAACAGGGATCCCACCAAGTTGGCTTATTACTGTAAATTGCAGATACACTATAAAATGGGGTTTACTTTTTCCTGTCTTTAACACCTTCTAGGTTTGCATGTTGAAGTTTGAACTTCTCTAAACCCTCACATTCCTTACTTACATCACATTGTGGAACACTTCTAGTAGAGTCTTGTAGCAATGAATCAAGCATTTCTTTTACATATTGGTTGAGGTACAATCATGTATCTCTTTCTTCATAATTATTTGATCAAAAAGTTGGTTGAGTTTATGATGTCATCACTTCACTGAAACTTGAACTTAGGGAAGGGGTGGGTGGGTTCAAACTAAAAAAAACCCCAAGGTTCCTTGGGAGGGGTATGAATATTTTCTGGAACAACACACTGTATGACTAAAAAACAAGAAGTCCAAATTTTTTAACAGCTAATTTGGAGATACACTGTATGGCAGCTGTATTATCATATCCACTGAAGACTGGCAAATAAAACCTTCCCTTCTTAATGGATGATCATCATTCTATGATTAGCCTTTATGTTAATGCTACACAATGAATTAAAATGGCAAACAGAGCCATCAAACCTGCCATTGTTGAAATCCCTAGAGTCATTCCAATTGTTAAATCTATGTATTCTCCCTAAAAATGAGAAGGATTGCAGTTTTCTTAAACTTGAGCTTATCTTATCTAGACATCTTTTCAGATTATACACCACATACATGTGCACTTCCTGTCTCTTTTAAGCCCTCTCTTTAATAAGCCTCACCCCCCCCCCCCAACCCAGGCTGCCACACCCTGCTAACACTTTGACAAGTTAAAAAGCTTCCCTTTCCAACACCATAATCTGCATGAGGCTTTGTTGTATTGCACCAGCTCTGCTCACTTTAACATCACAACAGTGCACTCTGCACAAGAATACAGCACAAGAAAAGAATACGCAGATGAATGAGAACAAACTGGTTTAATCAATACTCACTGCTATGATCATGATGGCGTTATCTAAGAATCCAAACCCAACAAATGGAATCGCATTATGGAAGGCAACTGATGAGAGAAAACCCAAGAATATGTCAGAGATACATGTATCAGAGGAGCCACACACTCTGATGGCTACACTCAGCTAGTCATGCATACCTTGTGCAGCTGCACGAAAATATCCATACATGTACCCATCCCCAGGAGGGTCATTGGAAAGGGAGAGGAGAGTTTCACAAGCCAATCAGTTTTCAAAGGAAACTGTGAAGCTAAACAGTTAAAACAGGAATTTCCAGAAGGATTGGGGAAGGGAACCAAGATCTTTCATCTTGTATTATACAAGATGGTATATCCAAGAAGGTGGACTTAATGGCATCTTATGAAGTCAGATGACATCATACCCAAAAATGTACATGTATGTCACCTTGTAGAGCAAGAAACACTCAAGAATGCAAAAAACAAAATTACAGTGAAAACCCAGGGCTTGGATCCATCCACCCCTCCATGTACTGCGATAGGGTTACAAGTTTGCATGTACATGACTACGTCCAAGGTTAAAATTATGAATCATAATTATTAGATCACTGATAGCACTTTCCTTATCTCTATCTTAAATTTACACGTACACGCTATCACAATGTGCAGAGAGAGTGGCCCCAGGAGTTAGTGGATTCTAAGTCAGGCAAGTGGATTTTATCCTTCACTGATACCCCACCACAGAATCTCTGGGCTATCAGATACGACTTGCTTTAATTTGCAAGCTTTGAGAGAGTGTGAAGACAAACTTGTGTTTTCTCTGGACAATTTGCATAAATAATTGATATAGGCCTGGCAGTATGTTCAGCATGAAATAACCTTACAGTATGTTGTTCCACCCCCAGGCCCGAGTTATAATTTTAAATAATTAAACTAATATAAATATTGATTGACCTGAACTAAGTTACCTAGTCTCAATTGTTTCACTGAAGGAGGAGCTGTGCTTTTGTTTCCTATTTGATCCAAGAAAGGTAGTAAAATTCATCAGCCAAAATACGGCAATCAAGCTAGTCTATCTATCAATAGCCTAGTCAAATACAGACCTACATGAATTACATGTATTACATGTACAGTGTAAATTAACACATTTGAACAAGACCAGGGGAATCCAATCGATGGAAATCGATGATCAGAAAACCAATCAATCGATCAATATCAATCGATAAAATTAGTTAATTGGTACTGATTGGTATCGGTAAATTGATGATCAATCAATAACCACACAAAAACCGTTCACTGATTGCTATCGATTGGCACAGCAACCTTGAACTGTCAGACATCACGCATACTACCTGTCCGATCATCAACCATTTGTAGAAAGCCCTAGAGACGAAATTGGTAAAACAATAGACCATTTTACAGTTGTCTACTCAGTGACCTGGCCTTTGGATGACAGTGAGGCTGGAGTTGACCTTGTTTTGATACAGACCTCACTGCTGTTGTCATGCAAATGCACCTAGTTAGCATCAGAGCAACTTGTTTTACACAACAAAAGCAGTAAGGTCTGTAACAAAACAAGGTCAACTCCAGCCTTGCAGCCATCCAAAGGTCAGGTCACTGAGCAGACAACTATAAAATAGCCTATTCGGATCCAGTCTTCTCAACACATAGGATATGCCCCAATGGCCCATCACTTACTACTATGATGAAAAAAAGGAACATCTTTATTATCCTTTGCTGCATATTTTATTTCTTTTAGACACAATTGACACCTTCATAGATTTTTTAGTTTGTATGTACATGTAATCTTTGTTTTAAGCATGATTAGGTTCATTATTGTCGGGCTAGGCATTGTTCCTTTATTCATTTTTTTTGCAGCAACTCATTTTACTGTTGTTGGCAATTTTACTGTTTGCAAAAGTACAATTTCTGTTACCAGAATTTTTCTGTGAAGGCACGATGTAACCACTTTCCATGTCTGCACCTTTTAAATAGTTTTTCACTATTGGATAAGGTTTTCAAACTTCTAACTTTTCTGCTTTTGTAACGTTTCCATGGGATACGTGTGGATAGGAGGCAAGAACGGGAACAAACTTTTGAGTTGTTACAGGAAAATGGACACCTGTGGACGGGGGGGTTAAAGATAGTATTGTTCTCCTGTTAACGTTCAAAGCATTAAAATGAAATGTGTTTACAATTACTGCATTCAAAGATGTGATATTTATGTGCCAATATATTCCGTCAATCTGCAACAATCGATACCAATCGATATCAATTTATCTATTTATTGTTATTGAAAATCAATACCAATTGATAACCACATGAATCTTCGCCATCGATTGGTCATAGATTATCAATATCCATCGATTAATTGATATCGATTGGTATTGATTGATATCGATTGTCCTCAATTATCGATTAGGCACCCCGGGATAAGGGGGCCAAACTCGTGGGCATGGCTAATAAACTCTCCGAATTTTTTTTTCTGTTTTAGACCCTGTCACTTACCTATATCTTGATCATGAATTCTCAGCGCTTCTCGAAGCAGGAAGCGCTCCTCTTCGTGTAAAGAAGCCACGAAAACATCCGCACAAAGAGGTGTCGTAAACACACTTATACCGCCGCCTTTACCCCGGTATATCCTTCGACATGGCGCTGTCATGGAAGCTCGCTTAAACCACCGCAATGCACAAGATATATCTGCTATTCCAGCTCGGCAACAACGATACATATTCAGCCTTATTCACCCTAACTATTGGAAACTGTTCACTCGTTGATCAGTGTGCCCTTGATATACGCTGTATTATAGTGTCCTGGCATCTTTTATTGTGTCGTGAACAATAAAAAGACATTACAATAAGTCGTATATGCATTCCATACTGACTCTGAATCAGCTGTTCTCAAAATATCGCACGCTCCTCAGTGAGCAGTTCGTCCGCAAGAGATCTAGGAACGAGAGCGGTCTTCAAAGGGACAAAAAAAATAGGTCCGAAATGCGTACATGTGTGGCTTACGAGTCCACTTGCAACATCTAATGGAAGTTAAACTGAAGGGAAAAATATGAGCTGGAAGTAGGTAATAAGTAGTCTATTTGAATTAAATTTACCATAACTTACATTGAAAACTTAATTCTGGACATTGGAAGAAGTAACTGTCTGGATATCGCGCGCTCAGAGGGGAAGTATGGAGTTACAATACCTTTCTAGAGATGAACACTTTTCAATATGATGGTCAATAATAAAAAAAAAAAAAATCAGCATTGAAACTCTTATATATTGCCTTTGGTGTACGAATGGTTAGCAGCAATACTGTTTGCCTGAGAAGTAAGTGACAGGGTTCGTACACGTTTTCAGGCCAAAAATTCAAGGACTTTCCAGGACCCTACTTTGAAATTTCAAGGGCTTTTCATTTGTGTTGAAAGCTATGTTTTGAGAATAAACACGTGGACATGCAGAAACGCCAGACAACGAGAGCTTGAAAACACGTGCAAACCAGACATTCGCTGTGCATTTGTGGCGCAATGGACATGCGTGAGAGTAAGGAGAGAGCACAAGGAACACAAAACGAGTGTTTTTGCACATTTTGTAAGCACTTCGAGAACTGTATACCATTTGTTTTCACTGCCTTTCATTTACTTTAAAACTTGTAAGTGTTTACATTTTCGATCCCGTCCAATAAAAAATGAAGTACTTTCAAGGACAACCAATTTCAAGTACTTTCAAGGCCCTTGAAATAGGACTGCTGAATTTAAATGGTCTGTAAAGACGCGTATGAACCCAGAATTGAAAATATTAGAGTAAACTACATGTTATTACTAAATTTGTTGAAATTTACTACTTGCCAAACAGTTAAACTGTGTACCTTGTTGTACTCAGGTTGTTTTGTTTGGAAATTCAATCCAGTTTCTACGTACCTTTAAAAATATGTACCTTTGCTGTAATATAGTGGCCTGCGTGGCAGGCGTAAACGGGTAAGGGTAGGGAGGGCACTTTCACACCAATCCCTCAGTAGCTATTCCCACTCAAAATTAGGCGTGGGGTTTGGGAAAGAGAACATGGAATGACGATGGAATTGCAGGTGTCCAAGGTCTAACATTTGATGAAGGAAGCGTTATCAATTTTTTCTTTCCGGATGAAAGGACACTACAGACACCGTAAGTTATTCTGGGACAGAGAATTTAAATTGCTGGATGGAACCGCGGCCTTCCGTTGAAAAGAAAAACAATTAAAGGCGCGGTAACAAAGCAAAGACATCACTTCCGCGTTTGGAATAGCAATGGCTTCTCCGTGTGTAGTGAAGGATTCAGCGGGCGAGTACTTTTGTATTTTTGAACAAGCTTGTGAAGCATACCTGAACAGACTCTGGCCTGACTGGAAGACAAGTGATCGAACATACATGTTCCCTCCAGCTTTCCCCTTTCGCTACACAGCTCCGACTGGTGCCGCATCTGGTGCTGTTGGAATAAGCAAGTCTGAGGAACTCGACATCAAGGGCGATTCTGCCGAGTTGCTGATCTTTCGGTCCCTCGATAAGTATGGGAGAGAAACGAATCAGCCAATGGTCGTTATCACAAAATTTGAATTTCAAGAATTCATAGACGAAGTTCTCCTACAAAACCTCCCAGGCGATTATGTTCAATCTTTGTTTGCCGATCTCAGCCAAACGGATCTCTCTCGAGAAATCGATTTTCTCGTTTTTCACCGGCGTATTGGTGTCATTCTCATTGAAGTAAAAGCAACAGAGAAGTTCAAAACCAATCGATATCTTGATGCGAAGAGACAACTTCAAGTTGGAGAAAAATTCGTTCAAGCGCTCATGAAAGCAAAGGGAATAGACGTCCCTGTTTACAAAGTCGTTGCAATGCCAAATGTAATCGACGAGGGTCGCAGTGTTAAAGATTACATTGATCTCCGAAAGATTCATCTAGGTACAAAAGATGATGGTGAGGATGACAATTTACAACATTTCGAGCTGTGGTGGAAAGATCATTTCACCAAGATGTCTTTCGAGCAAGACGCGGAAAAGCTCTTGAGCCTGATTTCCATATTTGTGGGTCAGAGAGCTGCAATAAGCGCCACAACCCAAATACTTAGTGCAGTGTTTAAAACCATTGATGAGCAAAGTTTTCTTGAAAAAAGCTACAAAAAAATGACAAGAAAGGGAGCTTGTGGATCTCCTGTGGTGGTAAGGCCAACTGATACGACCGGTCTGAGCATTCTGGCGAAACAGTTTATGTTCTTAAACATAGAGCAACTAGGGATTTGGGAGGGACCGTTACACCAGTTCTTTTGCGGCGCCCCAGGAAGTGGGAAAACGATTTTACTCCAACACAAAGCGTTGGAATGTGCGAAGAAGAATGAAAAGGTGCTTATACTTGTGCCGCCACCACTTGATAAGCTCTACAATGAATTCTTCACAAGAAACGAGATTATCAACGGAATTATTACAATCGTAACATATGACAACCTAAGTGATTTTCTCTCTATGGCCCCGGAAGTACCAATTAATCTGTTCCATATCTTTGCTGATGAATTTCAAATACTGCTTAACACGAATGAAACCTTACTGGGCTCGTTCAGAGAATTCTTGGTCCGTTATCAAAGCAGTCTCTTCTATCAGTGGATTACTTATGACGTCAATCAGTTGTTATTGGTGAATGAGGTGTTTGGAATGAAACGAACCAAAGTGAATATTTCAAGCTTTCTCACCGAGCTCTGTGAAAGGCAAAACTTTATTCATGCATCGAGCCTCATGACCGTTATGAGATGCACCTCAGAAGTTTACGATTTTCTACAGCGTTTCCTGAAGTTTTCATTTGGTGAACAGCCAGGCGGATCTGGAATCGCCCAGCGGTACTGGCATCATCCAGTTCATCTTGGACACCACGTTTGTGGACCCCAAGTGATTGTGGAGGGGAAAATAGGTTATGGATCACGTGAAGAACGATTCGTCGACTGTTCCAAGATCATCAAGAACGAGATCAATGAATGGGCAAAGAAAGAGGATGGATTCTTGTATCGTAAAATCGCTATCCTGGTGGCTGCTACAGGGTGGATCGAAGATCTCTCTCCCTACATGATTCAGGAAGGAATCCCAGTTTGTCGCATTGGAGACAGAGAAAATGCAGTCGTTTTGGATTATGCAGATTACGCGCGATCGTACGAGTGGTCTGTTGTTATTGCAATTTGTGGCCACTTGAAAGCCATGCAGAACTACATCCCAGCATCAAGGGCTGTGACCCGATTACTAGTTCTTTGGTGGAAGTAATGGCTAACACGACCTGCCCTCTTCGACTTGTGTCCTTTCTAAGAAGGAACAAGGCATTTGTGTTTAGGTATTATTGACTGGCCTGTTACTGAAAAGTCTGTCTTGATCAATGTAGAAAACAGTGGACACTTGTAACTTCTGCAAAAAACAAACAAACAAACAATGAAAGCTCCTAGGGGACAAATGGAAATGGAAGTAATGCAGGGAATAGAAATGGAATGGAAATGGAAGCGGAAATGGAAGTAATGCAGGGATTTTGCTATTTAAAATTTCTCATTGCTATTTTAAAGACAACATTTTGCTTCATTGTATTATTGTATGCAAAAGTGTAATATCTTTTAATAATACTTTTTTACATATTTTTCAAAATGGTCTGAGTTACTGCAGTGCTTTACTTTGTGATTTCTGACACATCTCTTAAACCAGAAAATCAGTGCACTGAATCAGTGAATTCATACGTTTGATTACTAAGCTGACACATTTCCAAACATGACCAGGGGCCCCTTTCTCCAAAGTCCTGGTAACTTATTAATATTTAATATTAATGGGAATAATTTTGGCAACCTTGTTCCCAGGGTCCTCTCTCTTTGAGGCAGAGAGAGGATCCTGGGAACAAGGTAGTAATTTGTGTGAGGGATGAATTTTGTTAAAATTTGTGTGTGAAATGGGATCACAAGCCCATGGAACCTATGCTCTACACGAATATTTTTCAAAAATTATTAAATCAAGAGACTGTTTCCTCATTTTTGTACCAACTTCCATCTTTACACCGCAGGTCTGTCACAAGACTTTCAACATAGATAACACAGGTCTTGTGAGAGCTAAAGGTACAAACCTCTACCTAGAGGCCCACTGGAGAGCTGTAATTTAACAATTATTCCACAAGCATGCATTGGATGGCGAGATGATAGACAGCCGAAAGGCACATAGTGCCGAGTTGGTTATGACTGGAATAATTCGTAACTAAAAACACCCCCAAAATATTGCCAACTAACATAAAACAGAAATAAAAATGCATCAAAGTAGACATGGAGTGTACAAAATGCTTATCACATGTTCATACTTACCGCTACTGGGGCCATGAGAAAAGTTAATGGCGATGCTAGTTTTCAGCTCCTCCTTAAACCACTCCTGCTTGATGGCACAAGTGAGCTTGACTAGTCTTTTAATAGGTAGACATGACAATATCCCCACCTTGTTTATCAAATCAATATTTGTGCCTAAAAAGCTTGTGTTTGTTGGGTCAGATACATGAGTATGAAATTACAAATTAAAGAGAGTTGGGTATGGCTATTAATGAACTCACCACAAAAACTCCTTTCATCATTCAAATAATTTTTGTAACATTAACCTTATCAAAAAACATTATTTTTTGTCTCTCTCCTTTAATTCACTCACTTTAATTACCTGGCTTAATATTTTCATGTCCCAAATTATGGTAAACATTCAATGGAAATTATTTTTCCAACTAACAGTACTTTTTCAATTTCGGGATAAAACCTAGACAAGGCAAGTGCCTCATCTAGCCTGTTGCTGGCTCTAACAATGTTTCGTAGAGGTGTCACCACCTACAAAGATTTTTAATTTGATACGTGGTTCAAAACTTAACAACAAGGAGCAGAAAACGATAATTAATCTACAGTTTATATTTATTCCAAAGTTGTTTCTCAACTTTTAAATTATTTTATTAATGAAATAACTAATTATGAATGTTAAGGCACACATTATTGTCAAAACAGTTAGTCTACTTTGAACTCTTTTGCTACCTTAAGAATCAATGGGCAAAAACACATGCAATAGAAAAAGATCTTACATACAAGAGTATAGCTGAACTCAGATTACGCAAAGCTATGTATACATCATTTCAGCCATAGCTGACATAGGCTTTGGAAAATACAGAAGCTGATCAAAATATGCCGCCAACTCTTCAGGTGTTGTGTCATCAAATTTCATTCCTGCATGTCTCTGTACATTTGCACACTCTAATCGTCTATGCTGCCTGCTACAATCAGCTGCCATCTCCCTGGATTGAAAGTAAGGCTTTTGCTCAACTTTACTCTCTTTATTGGCATTACATAGGCTGGTGCTCTTAGCTGAAGGTGATTTATTGCATTCCAATTCACTGTCACTTAGCGAGTCTCTTTGGTCTTTTAAAGTTCCTTCATTTCTTAATTCAAGGCTCATTTTGCGTCTCCTTCGTCTGATACCACGAGCTTGATTCTTGTTGACCATTGTTGAAGTTTGTTGATTCTTGTAGATAAACATTGGCTCCCTGAGGATTCGTCTTGCGATCTGTTTGCTTCCTTTGTCTCTGTTTCTTAAGTTGTTGAGAACTCCAAGTCGTGCTTTCCTATGAAGCCTTTTGCTATGAAGAAAAAAAAACAAAAAACAATAACCTCACGTAGGCTGTAGATAAAGAGAAAACTGTCAATTCTGAGATTTATCTTCAGATACATGTACTCCAAAATTCTCCAAACTGGCACTGAAGAAAGATATGCTCACCAGTAAGGAGAACTGACATTTCCACATTGCTACTGAAAGGTTTTCCATAGTGAGGCTATCTATTGTAAGAAAACCTTGTATAGATTTCAATATTTCAATTCTTTGTGTAATTTTGTATTACTGCGGCTCAGTAGTTATATATGTTAGCATGAATGTGTAACAAATTTGTTTGGCTAACAAAACAAACAATGTTTTGAGACTTTTTACTAGTGAGCATTATCGTGACTACTAAATGCATAGTTATCCTTTTTATGAGTGAAAACTGATTATTTTTGGGTGCGTGAATTCTGAGACTCACTTGCCCAATTGGCAAATGAATCTCAAATGATCCTTCCATTAACACTGGTACAGGATAAACATATGTGCACTGAACAAGAGAAAGAAGAAAGTCATTAAAGTGGTACTATGACAAAAATCGGATCTTTCCTATCTAAGCCCTTTTAAAACACAGACAAGTAGTCTGTACGAGAAGAAAAATGCTGTTTACTATTTTCAAATGTCTCTTTTTGTTCCAGAGATATTCAAGTTTTTTAAGTATGCAAATTGGCTAAGAGATGACATCAAAAACTCAACTGCATTTTGATCAAATATGATGAACAGAAATATCTCACCCGATTTGAATGAGAAATGTTTGATTCTTGGCAGTACAATTCTATTAGAGGTACTCCACAATATGAACCTAACATTTTTGTTACCATGGCAACATTCTGGGTTCCAGACCTCCTGATATTAAAGGCTTTTCTGGCCACCTTTAGCGTTCTATATTGATATTACCAATGGCACCTGATCTGCATCATCCAGCAAGCATACAAATATGTTAGGTCAAGTTCATGCCCTTGTTTAATGTTTTTTGGACTGAAAATCACTAAAATATTGAAATCAGGTTCGAGGGGACTGGAAAAGAGTGGGTTGCCATGGGAACTGAAATTGTAACAGCCGTAGATGTGTTGCATGCAGAACTAATAGCCTGCCAAGTACCAATGGTTTCTGCTGCAAATTGACCAAGATAGCTCTATTTATTTGATGTAATTTATAGATTCTTAAATATTAGTGTAAATAATTTTTTAGGGTCCTTAAAGTAGATTTTTATTGTTGTCATCTTATTTTTATTGTTGTACTTATTTAAATTTAAGTTATTGTCTTTGAAAAGCCTCTTATAATTAGGGGAAAGTCGATAAAGTATGTATGTATGTATGTAATATTTGGTTGAGTGTTTGACGTCATCAGTCCTCTCATTTGCATGTATCACACATTTTTCAAACTAAATATCTCCGGCACCAATGCAGATATTTGCAAACGGTAAACAGCATTTTTAATCTTTTTTGGAATTCTATGTGATTAACCAAAATTCAAGGGGTAAAACTTTGATCATGGTACCACTTTAAAATAAACATTGATAAAAATTATTAATATAATTAATCTACTAAGAATTTTAGCCAGTCTTAATTTGTTTTCGAAGCTTTCCTATTTTAAGGTTTTGGGTCATTGCATCTTCATTTAAAAGATAACCATTTTTGATACAACCATTGGTAGCCACAGGGTTTCTTATCTGACTTTACAAAATCATATATGTTGATGACACAGCAAAAAAGGGTTTAAATTTAGAGGGTGAACTAAGTATTAAAATATGATCGGACAACTGAGTTTTGAATAAACAGACTGAAATTGAATTAAGTTAGCACTATTGGAAAGTGAAAACAAATTTATTTCTTCTTTTATCCTGGAATAACACCATCATGATGAAAAGACTTGCAAGGCTTCAAAACAACGAAGGGCAAAAGCAGTGAAGCTTACATGTATACTGTAATTACTTCCTGAAATGCCACTAATAATATAAAGTATATTTGCAATTATAGCTGCAACAGGAAAATACATGGATGATTTGTATCGAAGTGGCGATAGAATCTGCAACGTAGTTTAAAGCTTATAGAAGTCACTCTGAAAACACAATCAACTGCTGTTTCGTTTTATATTCGACAGAAAAATAAATAAGGCTATCCTACTGAAACTTAACCGAAAGTGTTGATGCAATCGACGTGACAATTGCAATTTACTTGGTAGAAGATTTTCACACCACATAACAGAGGTTGAATTAAAATATTAACCTTATTTTTGCCAAATTAGATGAAGTGAAAAGCATTCAATATCATAAACAAAACCTACTTTTATATAAGCTTGTTTCTCAATATCATCACGATTTTTGAAAGGTGAATTTTGAAAGGTGAATTTTGGGAACAACGGAAAGTCTACAGTAAATACTTACGGTCCATTGTCGACCCTGAGTTTCTTGAAAATCGTCTGTAGATCTTTCTCGGGGCCTTTTAGCTTGCTCTCACTGTTTTTGACTTGTCTTTCGCAAGCGTCATTCGGACAATCACACTCCTTGTCCGCCATGTTGTGTTTTGTTGGCAAGCACGTTTCTACTAATGACGTCATCTAAGCGACAATAGACCTGCGAGGGAGGGGATGGGAGGGCAACAACTACAGTATTCAGAATCGGAAGAACTGGGCCTACACCCACAGTCAGTTGCCAACAACGTTCGTAAAACCTTTATAGCCTTGTCCGTTTCCCATTAAGTGATAAATAGTTACTTCATTACTCTATTTTCGGGTTCTCAAAAGTTTCTGAAAATCATTTGGTGAAAAACACAAAATTAAAGTATCGGTGAGATTTGTTCTTATAGGCTTATTACGCCTTTGATGCATGGACAAAAGTTTTACGTGGCTTTCTCGAGTATTCCTATAATGATTTTAAATCAAATCAAGAAAAGTCAGGGATAAAATGCTCGGAAAACTTTGGAAGGAAAAAAAGTAGGGAAAACCCCCAAAAAGTAGGATGAAAATCGTTCAAATGGTGGCCTGCGAGCAGGCTCACCTTTGAGTCACACGCGCGAGCGGCGAAGAGCAAAGCGATCTGGCGGGAAGGAGTCTGGTGAAGAGGTGCCAAGAGTCTGGTGAAGAGGGGCCACTTTCTCGTCTCGCGGTTTCGCTGCTCGATTTCGCGCTTGCGGCTACGCCGCGCGCGCTTGTGCTCCAACCTGAGCCTGCTCGCGGGCTATTCAAATGGAGGTTACTGTGTTTATCCTTCTAATTGATTGATTGATTAATTGATTGATTCAAACTTTATCTATAAACGGTAAAAATTCCTTCAGCGCAATTAACGTATAATATATAAGACTGCCTAGCTAAACTAACTAATAATTAAGGCGGGGGTTAACATGAAGGCCATATTTTTGCTGGGTATTATGGTTTGAATGCAAATATCTCGTTCACGTTTCAAGGAGTGAAAAATCTCTCTACTCATTTCACATAGCTACGTTTTGGGCTGTTTTGTAAATTTTTTGGTGATTTTTGGGTATATTTGGGGATAAATAGTTTTTCTCAAAGGATTAGTAAAATTTATGGAAATAGGAAATTTTGAAGATTTGATGTTGTTTTAAAATTAGAATTTTAGCTGGGGAATATTCAGCCACGTGATGTGTAGTACATGTTATAATCCATGAAATATTTTCGCTCGCGCGCGATTGGTCTAAACACGTCACGTGACCGAATATTCCCCAGCTAAAACTGGGGAATAATCGAGAATATTCCCCAATTTTCAAAACTGCCGGTGTTGCGAAAAAGATTTGAAGGATAATGAACACAATGGCCTCCATTTGGCGCAAAAATATGCTCGGATATTTGTCCTTGGACATTTCTGTTCCTCAAAGCTCACAGATTTCCTCGAGCTACGCTCTCGGAAAACTGTTCGCTTCTCGGAACAGATAATGTCCACGGACAAATATCCTGGCATATTTTCGCGCCAAATGGAGGCTATTGTCTATATAGCTGATGTCAAACGGAAGCGCGTGCAACGACGATCATCGACTGTCGTGCGCCGTTTGACCAGGGTTTAAAGAACGGAATACTTTACAGTTGTACCCGATTATAATCCGTCATCGCTTCTGCAGGGTGCCTTTAAAGGTTTTTGCTGTTGCTTTTATAATTTGTTGTTGCTGTTCTAACGTAAGGGATTTTTCAGGTGTTCTCGATCAGGACTGGACAAAAACCTGCCCGCTATCAGTGGTCTTTTAGGCGGGTTCCCACACACAGGTCTGGTCACTACCAAGACACCTTGAAAGTAGACTGGGAAGTGGTATATATGCGATGTTTGGCGAACAACAAGAGAGATCAAGCAGCATCCACTGAAAGCATTTTGCAGGAAATAACGTTTAATAATTCATAACTCCTTACAGTTAAAGACTAATTTTTACGTATCTTTTTTGCCGTAACAATTTCACGATATGTATTTTTTTTTGGGGNGGGGGGGGTCTAATTTTCCTCCCTCACCCTCCCACCCTCCCCCCACTCCCCTATCGCAAAAAAATAGATTAAATGAAACAAAGGCAAGCATTCTCGAGCACATGTATAACCACAGCAAACCCTGTCTTAACTTTGTCTATTAAATAATCTTCAGTTGCATATAAAATATTGTTTCAGAAACGTTGTTGAAAAAATTTCAGTAAAGATTTAAATGTGTATTTTCTATTCCACAATGGTCAGGCCATATTTCCCCTGTCAACTATTCTCTAACTTCTGTTTTGTTCTTATCCTTGGCTAGTCCCAGTTTTCCCAGTCATCGTCCTGTTTAAAAAAATAAAAGTTAGGTCAATAATTAGTCCTGAAATTAATATTTATTCTTAATTATATAATATGACGAATTATTCTTGTATTTTGATTGGTTCCTACTTATGATCTATTGGAGGACAGACGACGGCATAGATGGCGTCATTAACAACGTTTTTGTTGTTGTTGTTGTTGTTGTTTTCTTATATAAACCAAGTAGATTCCATGTTGCCGTGCGTCTGTTCGGTAACAGATCACAGATCACGTCAAAATGTAGTAACGAGCATCTGTCATCTGTCTTCTGTGATCTATTACTGAACAGACGTACGCAAACATGGAATCTATTTGTTAATCGGAACTTCTGGGGGAAGCGTTTGCGTTTGGAAATTCGCAAAATTCACCTTTTTATTGAGTTTAGTAAAGGTTATAGATACAGTATAACGACAAGGCCCAGTTAATCGAACGAACATGTGCGCATCGGTGCACCCATAAAAATTACAAATTCAACATTTTGAATTCAGTGACTCACATCCGCATCTCCAGTGCCATCATCTCCACTCTGTTTTTTCGCCGCCATACTTTGCATGATTTTCTTGACCTCCTCCTCGTCCATGTCCTCGTTTAAGTCTAAATCATCATCGTCATCATCCCAGTCCACGTCTTTGTCGTCCACGCTAGGTACCAGTACACCACTGCCAGATGAAGTAGAGCTGTTACCAGACCCAGTGCGAATCTCTTTTGAACCGGCTACAAGAAAACGGATTGTCAACTTATATTAATAATAACAAGAACTTTATTAAAATCTCCTCAGAAAACCTATTTACAGATCTTCACACATTCCACTATCGTAGACTAAAATTTTGATGAAAATAAAAATATCACGAGATCCTAAAATACTAATTCACAAGCTCATGCCATCATCGACTTTCTAAAATTAGTGGACACACGCCCGGTTAGAGTTTAAACGGCAGACTTTCATTATTATCATAATATGACAATAATAACAACAACAACAACAACAACAACAACAACAATAATGATAATAATAAGAGAAATAACACTATTCATATACTCAAGTTTTGATGAAAATAAAATAAAATAAAATATTTTAATTTAAATGTAGCGCACATTTTGCACACGTCTATCACAAGCAACATGAAAAGTGTTCTTTGCAGGTTTTGTTGCCAAGAAATATCTAACTTTTGTTGAATTTTTTCCTGTGATTAGGCATGTTTCACATTCTCAGATTAATTACAGAGGAGAAGTAATGTCACGGAAAAGCTCCAAAATCTGCAAGATCAACAGGGCTCAAGTCTAAAAGTACATGTAACAAACTAGTCAAAGACTAGTAAATATTCAGATTTGCTTGACAGGTTTTGTCTCCCTACTAGCTTCTTTGGTTAGTGAAAAACAGCTTTTCCTACTGTGTTTGACAAAATTCAGGCTTGGCATAGTTGTTGACTGCAGTTTCAAAAGCAACTAGAAATCTGAACATAGGCAGAAAGGGTGGTAATCTAAAATTTATAAAATTCAAGCTCTCCAATAACGAGTTATTATATGGCTAGCTCCGTGAGCGGGCAAGGTGAGTCAAATCCTGCACTGTGATTGGCTACCTGAGTGGGCAAGATGGAGCTATCTTGCCCACTCAGGACTACCCACCGTGTCCCGCAAAAAATTTCCCTGAAAGCCATATAATAAATCCTTTATTGACCAAGCTTGTTCAGTCAAGATGGCTGGATATTGACCTCATTCATTTTTTGCGTGTTTATGGACCTCGACTCTGTCTCGGTCCATAAACACGAAAAAAAAGAACTTGGCCAATATCCAGCCATCTTGACCTCACACTTGATCAATAACCCATACTTCTTAAGAGTTTCAATCCCAGGCTGTAGGAGGCATGCCAAAAAAAACAAAATAATTATTGGCTCGTCAAAAATTATTTTAATTAGCTAATAAAATCTGTCATGTAACTAGCCAGAAGACCAGTGTTTTAAAAGATCTTAAAAGCTAGCCTCGAGCCCTGACTGAGTTGTGAAGTGCAGACCTATGTAAATTTTGGTAGTTGTGCTGTGTAAATGTTGTTCTTCCATCATATACATGTACACCACAGAAATAGCAAGTAAATATTGTATTTCTAATTGCCTTGTTGTTGAGCACCCCCATTTATTGGATGTGCACTGCAATCAATATAAACTGAAAGGTCCATCATGCCTATGCAACATTATAAACAATGTACCTTCTTTATCTCCATTAGCCTTGAGTTCTTCTTCACTTAGTTTAGACCATGAACTGTCCACAGAGCCACTGCTGTTTTCACGCTTGTGTGAAGTTTGAAGCTCTGCAATAGCTGTTTTGTCACCTGCTGAATCTTCTGCTAATTCTTTTGATTGCTCAGCTAGTGAAGGGTCCTGGTGGTCACCAGATTTTTCCATTTCTTTATTATTTGGTTGATGTTGTGAGGCTTGTTCCGTTTTCTTCGTTGGTAACTCAGCTGGTTCCTGAACAAAAGTCTCCTGTGATGGTTGCTGCTCTTTCACCTCTGAGCTTTCCCCTTTGCTCGCCTTCTCACTTATACTCAGGTGACTACTAACTGGTGCCATGATAACTGGCTTTTCTTGTTTCTCTTGTTTCTCAAAAGAGACAGCTGGCTGAATACCTTGCTCCTTTATCGCTGCCGTGACTTCATTAGATTTTTCTTTCCCTGGTTCTTGTTGCCCAGTCTTTGTCACTTGAGTCTTATTAGTAATGGGATCCTTGCTGCCTTCATTTGTAGCATGTTTACTCATCAGTTGACTGTCCACGTCTATCTCTTCAATATCCCACAAATCTAAGAACCAAACAAGCTAATTCATTACCTGACAAAACTTTGTCTCACAAACAAGGTACTAAGCATGTAGGATAAAGTAGTAAAGTGAACTTGAATAGGTCAAAAAGCAGATGAGAGAGTGTGGGTGGGGTTAAAAAGCTGTAAATAGGAAAGGTCACTCCCCCACCCTCCTGCTGACTATCCAATTCCCCCCATGACTGATGTAAGCATGTGATCACATGCCACGTACCTGAAGCCACCTGGCTTATTATGAAAATTTTCAGCAAGTTGGGTATCATGTCTCTGGTGTTTACTACACACAGAAGCACCAAATGTAAGAGCTTAGTGCGTGAAAAGCCCAGACATAATCTATCTCACCGTTTTGAGAACAGGCAAGCATATCAGCTTGACATTCTGGTTTCAAGGTGAGAACTACATGTACACTTGTTACCAATAATATTTAAGCACAACAGTTTCTTTAGAAACTAGCGATTATTTTGTGCCCATCTTTGTATGAAATTATACATTCAAGAGGACAATGAAAATTACTGTTACCTGGCAGGGCTTGAAATTAAATTTTTCGTTCGGGAGCCAGCTGGTGACTAA